TCAAAAAATCAGCCGGGCGTGGTAGCGCACGCCTGTAATTCTGGCTACTCAGAAGGCTGAAGCGGAAGGATTGTCAGAGCCCAGCAGGCAAGGCTGTGGTGGCCAGGAGCAGCCACTGCACTCCAGTCTCGGCGACAGAGTGAGACTCCAACACACACACAAAAAAAATGTGGCCCTGACCCCTCGGCCTGTTTTACTTTCTCTTGCCTTCGGGGCATCTCGTCGTGAAACCCGACCGCATGTGTAAGATGGCTACTCACAGTTGTTTTCCTGGAGGGGACAGCGAGGTTTGCCCTACACACATTCCCCTCTGCCATCCTGGTAGCCAAAGGTGGCACTTAGGGATGTCACTTGAGATCAAGGCCTGTCGACGTGACAGACGCACACGAAACTCACTAAACGGCGAGCTCACTGAGCCCTTCACTTAACTGGACCCATGCGAGCTAGATTCTCTAGGGACACGGTGAGGCAAGATACTTTATTTCGAGTCCGGGCCGTCCCTGGCGTCAGAGACTTGGCGTCCCTTGTGTGCCGTCTACTGACGACGGAGATGGGAGTGCCTCTCAAAGAGAGACAAACATTTGTGGGTCACTGATGAGGCTCCGTCAGGGGCTGCGGGCTGAGCTGGGCCTGACTCTTCTGGTGCCTGTCCTGAGTCTCCAGGCGAGACCCCGGTTCTTCCAGTGTCTCCACCACAGATTGTATAGACTGCCACTAGAACAGCTCTTGGCCGGGCATGGGGGCTCACGCCTGTGATCCCAGCAGTTTGGGAGGCCCAGGAGGAAGAATTGTTTGAACCTTGGAGTTCAAAATCAGCCTGGGCAACATAGAGAGACCTCTTCTCTGAAAAAATTAAAAAAAAAAAATTAGCCAGTTGGGGTGGTATGTGTCTGTAGTCCCAGCTACTTGGGAGGCTGAAGCAGAAGGATCACCCGAGCCCAGGAGATCGAGGCTGCGGTGAGCCGTGATCGTGCTACGCACTCCAGCCTGGGTGACAAAGCAAGACCCAAACCCAAAATAATAACAAAAACTCTTGCAATATAATAGTATTGCTTGCTTTTCTGTGTGTCTCCCCATTAGATTTTAGGTTACTTGAGAGCAAGAAGCAGACCTTTCCAGCTGCACATATCCGGTCTTTGCAAAAGCCTGGTTCAGGGTGGGTATTCCCTTCATGAAAGAGCAAAACCTTGAGGACAGAAGGAGGGAGGGGAAATTCCTGCCGACCCACTGATCCAAGAGAGAGACGAGGACAGCTGCCTGGGTCTCAGCAACCCTGCCGTCCTCGGACCAGCGGCATTCGAGACATCTTGCAGAAAACAGGCCAAGTACAGTCAGCGTCTCACTGCCCAGTGCCAAGGGAAATGCCGTTAGCAACAGAGGCTCTGTCGGTTGCTCTTCCGATTCGGCCCGCTGTGTCAGGATGGACGTGCCAACCTGCCCACGGTCAGGAAAGCCTTTTCTCCGTCTATGACTAGCTCCAGCGACTTGCCCTGGCCACTCTGTACTATCTGACGGGGCATTGAGAGACTCCAACCAGACCGTGCAGTTACAGTGCTCAGCCCAGGTCTGGGACACGGTGACTTCGCAGCCCGTGTTAGTGTCCCATCGCTGTTTGGGCTGTGTCATCCTTTCCAGTCACAGGCTTCTCATACCCCCAAGGGGAAAGCACCTTCTAAGATCACAGCTCTAAGACTGTGTCCCTCCAGCGAGGTTAAGTCTTGGGGGTGTTTCCTGACCTCCCCAGTTCTCTGACACCAGCTGGGTGTCCAACTCTTCAGTTCAATTCTGACACGAACTACCTGGCGTCTGCACAGACTCCGCCGCTTAAGGGCTCACTCCCACGAGACCACCCCACTTCAGACACCAGCAGCAAGTCTCAGGGCCCTCACACTTCTGACCGGCTGGCTATAAATTGAGAGTTTCCACGACCTTGCCGGATTCGATAATTTGCTAGACTGGGTCACAGAACTCAGGAAAACACTTCACGTTTGTTTACCAGCTTAGAACAAAGGCTACAACTCAGAAACAGCCGTGGGACAGATACACAGGGGGAGAGAGGCCAGAGCCTTCACGCCCTCTCCACCCACACCGTCCCCACACTTCGATTTTTTTTTTTTTGAGTTGGAGTCTCACTCTGTCGCCCAGGCTGGAGGGCAGTGGCATGCTCCCGGCCACTGCAGCCTCGACCTGCTGGGCTCCGGCGATCCTTCCGCCTCAGCGTTCCGAGTAGCTGGAACTGCAGGTGCGCGCTACCACACCCGGCTGATTTTTGATTTATTGTAGAAATGAGATCTCGCCAAGTTGCCCAGGCGGGTCTCGAACCCGCGGGCTCAGGCAATCCACTCACCTCAGACTCCCAAAGGCGCGGGATTACAGGCTGAGCCACTGAGCCCAGCTTACACTTTGAGGTGTTCACCCACATGCGGGTCCCCCACGTCTCACCGTTCAAGAGTGTGTACACGCCAGTCCCCGGCCCCCACCTCCCTTCCCATCGCTTGATCTTCCTGGTGGACAGTCCCATCCAGAGGCTATCTGGGGGCCTTCCCCTAAGTCACCTCGTTAGTGTGAGCTCAGGTGTGATCAAAGGGAGCTCGTTATAAATAACGAAAGACACCCCAGTCACTTGGGAAGTTGCAAGGGTTTTAGGAGCTTGTGCCAGGAAGCCAGGGCACAGGTTCTTCTTGAAACCCCAGGTCCCAAAACTGCTATCACAATCAACTGTCCTAAGAGGCTCAACGGAGTCTGGGCTCGGTGACTCAGTCTGTCATCCCAGCACTTTGGGAGGCTGAGGTGAGTGGATGGCCTGAGCCCGTGGGTTCGAGACCAGCCCGGACGACTTGGCGAGACCTCATCTCTACAGTAAATCACAAATTAGCCGGGTGTGGTAGAGCATGCCTGTAGATCTGGTTACTTGGAAGGCTGAGGCGGAAGAATCGCCGGTGCCCAGGAGGTTGATGCTGGGGTGGCCGTGAGAGTGCCACTGCCCTCCAACCTGGGTGACGGAGTGAGACTCCGACTCAAAAAAAAAGAGGCTCAATGTCAGAGCCCAGAATGATGCTTGCCTTAGCCAGTTCTGGCATGAGCTGTGACCTTACAATGGGAGTCTTCCAAGGCTCATCTTCCCGGAGACAGTCGGATCTGGTGTCTTCTAGGGAGCCCAGAGGCAGGTGAATAAGGAAATCTCCCCCAAGATAGCAGCTGTCCTGAGAGACGTTCCTGTGCCCCACACCTGCCCTCATATCTCTGTCACGTCACATGGCTTCTCACCTTGTCTTTCAACAGGCCATGGGGGCCCAAGACCTTATTGAAAATGTGTTTTCCCACATGAGCATCCACGGCGGACAGGGGGTCGTCCAGAAGGTAGATGTCTAAGTCTTGGTAGACAGCCCTGGCCAGGCTGATCCGCTGCTTCTGACCCCCGCTGAGATTGATGCCCTAAAGAAGAAAAGCATCTCTGTGAAGCCCTGCTCCCTAGACCCACCTTTGCAGTCTCGTAAGGAGGGGCAAAAGGAGAACATTTGCCGCAACAAGACATCAAGGGCTTAAAGATCGTGCAAGGGGTGTGCAACTGTGGTCCCAGGTACTTGGGGGGCTGAGGGGGAAAGATGCCCTGAGCCCAGGAGGTTGAGGCTGCGATCGAGTCTCTGCACTTCAGTCTGGGCGACAGAGTGAGGCCTTAACTCAAAAAGAAAAGAAATCTTACATGCTCCCTTACACAAATAAACAACTTTGATTCTAATAAATAACTTTAGGCCCAATCGTTTAAAATATGCCCAAGTTGCCATCTTCTTCCTTTCTTCCCTCCCTCCCTCTTTTCTCTCTGTTTTTGAGTTGGAGTCTCACTCTGTCGCCCAGACTGGAGTGCAGTGGCCGCTCTCGGCCACTGCAGCCTCCACCTGCTGGGCTCTGGCGATCCTTCCGCCTCAGCCTTCCAAGTAGCCGGAACTACAGGCGCGTGCTACCACGTCCTGCTAGTTTTTGATTTATTGTAGAGACGAGGTCTCGCCAAGTTGCCCAGGTGGGTCTCAAGCCCATGGGCTCAGGCAATCCACTCTTTCTTTTTCTTTCTTTCTTTCTTTCTTTCTCTCTCTCTCTCTCTCTCTTTCTTTCTTTTTCTCTTTCTCTTTTTCTTTCTCTCTTTCTGTCTTTCTCTTTTTCTCTCTCTCTCTCTTTCTTTCTTTCTCTCTCTCTTTCTCTTTCTTTCTTTCTTCTTTTTTTCTTTAGAGACAAGGTCTCACTATGTTGCCCAGGCTGGTCTCAAACTCCTGGCCTTAAGCAATCCTCCTGCCTCAGCCTCCCAATGTGCTGGGATTACGGGCATGAGCCTGGCCACCATTTTTTATCATAAGATTTACTTATTGAGTATTTTTGTTTCTTCCCATCCTATCAGAACGTAGAGCTGTACCAAGTCAGAGGTTCTCTTTATTTTGTTCATGAATGTAAACCTAGCACTTAAAAGAGTGTCTGGTACAGAGTAGGTGCTCCACTGTACACTGAGATAACAAAGTCCCTCTGAGCGGTATCGTCACTAGTCTCCTAACATCTCAGTGTCCTTGTCCCCAAAAGATTGCTATATTCATTCTGAGCAATGGAAGGAAGGATGAAAACATCCCAAATATACAGGATCTTTATCTAGAGATTTCTAAATAGATTATGTTACATCTATGTAATGGGTATCATAGAGTCATGAGCAATCTACCTCTAAGAAGGGCATTTAATCACATGGGGAAATAATTCCCCACGAGCGTCTAAGCTGGTTGGCAGGACCCTCCCGTGGCCTTGCGGATACAGAAGCAGAATCAGCTGGGCTCGGTGGCTCAGCCTGTAATCCCGTGCCTTTGGGAGGCTGAGGTGAGTGGATTGCCTGAGCCCGCGGGTTCGAGACCCGCCTGGGCAACTTGGCGAAACCTCATCTCTGCAATAAATAAAAAAAAAATTAGTGGGGCGTGGTAGCGCACGCCTGTAGTTCCAGTTACTTGGAAGGCTGAGGTGGAAGGATCACCGGAGCCCAGCAGGTTCAGGCTCCAGTGGCCGGGAGTGGCCACTGCACTCCAGTCTGGGCGACAGAGTGAGACTCCAACTCAAAAAAAAAAACAAAACAGCAGAATCAGGACACCGAGACACTGGTCCCCCTCTGCCTGTCACCTATGAACTCACCTAGGGACACTATCAGTGTAGCCTCTCAGGTTCTTTGCCTCATCATCTTTGATATAAATTACACAGTGCCTGTATTTGCTCTCGGGTATAAAGTCTTAAATTCTGAGTTATTGGCACAAGATATTGTGGCCACTGGGGCCACGCACACTAAGTGTTGGTTCCAAATACGACCACCTGAACTGGTCAACTTCATGACTCCTGTGTGTCTTTTCACCTTTCGCCCTTCAAGTCCCCTGTTTCCCCAAGTACCTTCTCTCCAATCTCAGCCAAGTCTCTTCCGGGCAATATTTCCAAGTCTGGGAGGAGGGCACAGGCCTCCAGAACTTGCTGGTACCTCTTTTCGTTCAACGCTGACCCAAAGAGGATGTTGTCCTTTATGGTGCCATTCTGAATCCAGGACTGCTGTGGGACATAGGCAGTAGAGCCCTAGATGGAAAAGGATCAGACCCCCTTAGAGCTGTCCTCCGGGCATGCAGGTGGAAGGAGCAGGGAGGAACGAACGGAGCTTAGAGTTGAAGAGCTGTGTGTCAGGATGGCTCGGGATCTGATACGTATGAATGCACTTGTGTTGATTGCACTGACCAGAGGGAAAGACTCAATGTCTTATTCACCAGTTGAAGTTTTTCTTTTTTTTGACTCCCACTTTCTAGCTATGATTCTGAAAATCAGAAGATGAATGCACCTGCTGCTTCTAGAACAGAGTTTTGGTCAAACACAGGGTGTTATGAGGGCCGACAGAGTCCAACACTGGGCAGGGGGGCGGTGGGGGATGGTACAGATGACGCTTAGGAAATAGGAACTAAGAGGTTGGAATTAAGACAGCAGGGTGAAACCCACAAGCAGGTTATATCCAAAGAGAGACCAACAAATATCCATGTTAAGAAGAACTCCTGTATGCGTTGGCAGGAAAAAACTTCTCCCAAGGAGTTAGAAGGCAGAGTTAAATCCATGGCATCTGCTCTATGGGCTACAGTTCATGTTTTTTTTGTTTTAACACAAATTAGCTCGTCCATGTCTGGTACATCAGAAAATGATGTCAGTATAATGTGGAAGAAGAGATGGTTCTTAAGAATTTTCCCCCGGGCTTGGTGGCTCAGTTTGTAATCCCGCACTTTGGGAGGCTGAGGTGAGTGGATTGCCTGAGCCCGTGGGTTTGAGACCTGCCCAAGCAACTTGGCAAGACCTCATCTCTACAATAAATCAAAAATTAGCTGGGGATGGTAGCGCGTGCCTGTAGTTCCGGCTCCTTGAAAGGCTGAGGTAGAAGGATCGCCGGAGCCCAGCAGGTCAAGGCTGCGGTGGCCGGGAGTGGCCACTGCACTCCAGTCTGAACAACAGAGTGAGACTCCGACTCAAAAAAAAAAAAAAATTTCCAGGCAGGGCAATCTAAAGCAATTAGGGAGAAGTTTTCTTACAATAAAAAAGAAACCCTTAGCAATATATGATGATCTTCAGAAAAAAAAAAAGCTGAAAATCTACAGATGCGCTTCTCTTGGATGCAAACAGTGACAGGTTTAATGATTCAAAAATAGCTAGAGTTTTCCCTAAATTCAGCTCACTGGAAAAGGTCAAAGTGCTGATGAAGATGCCATGAAAACAGTTTCCTTTGTGTTAAAAAAAAAGTCAAAATCAATGAAGAAGTCTACACCCCACATCAGATTTTAATATTGGAAGAAAATACCATTGAAGTCAATGCCAGTGTGATGATACAGCATGTTCTTAGTATTGTTTTTGTTGGTACTTGGGTCATAAGGTTATGTGAGTTTTTAGTGATTTGCTACACTCTTTCCCCCCAGGTCCTGTTACTTTCGCTGTACACTTTCAGAAACACGTACTTACGAGGAGGGACCCAAAAAACCTCCAGAATTTATTTATTAAAAATGATGTACTTATTCCTACATGTTTATTTTTTTATTTTTATTTTTTGAGTTGGAGTCTCACTCTGTCGCCCAGACTGGAGTGCAGTGGCCGCTCCCGGCCACCGCAGCCTCGACCTGCTGGGCTCTGGCGATCCTTCCGCCTCAGCCTTCCGAGTAGCCGGAACTACAGGTGTGTGCGACCACGCCCGGCTGATTTTTGATTTATGGTAGAGACGAGGTCTCGCCAAGTTGCCCACGCGGGGTCTCGAACCCACGGGCTCAGGCAATCCACTCACCTCAGCCTCCCAAAGGCGCGGGATTACAGGCTGAGCCACCGAGCCTGGCTTATTCCTACATGTTTAAACTTCAGTTCCCTTCCCAGGCCTCTCTGTTAGATGCACTACACCTGTCGAGATGCTTTTCCCACTCTTGAAACCATTTTTGAACTCGTCCATTTTGATGCCTTTCAGTGCTTCTGCCACTTTTGGTTTTGACCTCTTCCACATCGGCAAAAAGTTTCCCTTTGAGGACTTTTCATCCCGGGAAACAAAAAACAGTCGCTCGGGGTGAGATCAGGTGAACAGCAAGGGCGGGGTATAGGGGGTCATGCCGGTTTTGGTCAAAAACTGCTGAACACCCAGCACTGTGTGGGCAGGTGTGCTCGTAAATCATCCATCATGAAATGGGCACACGCGTTGAAAGAATCTCCAAAAAAATTCACTGAAGCGGAATGCGGCCTCTCACAACAGTGCAGGCTGGGATACGGATGCCAGTGGGTTCCTAAAACACCTATCTGGCTGGGGGAGACTGTGTCACAAGGGACCTGCCCTCCACAAGATAATCCTGGGTATTTTGGGGTCACCCTCATAGATTTAGCAGAAACGCCTGTACTCTGAAGGGCGACATCCCCAGCCTAGTCTTCACATTCTGGTGCGCGCAGGGGCATCACCTGGAAAGCATTCCTGAGAAGGCAGATTCCGAGGCCCTACCCCCAGGGTCTGATCACACAAGGCTGAGATGGGCCAAGAATCCCTACTCCACAGATCCGCCGACTGTCCCCAAGGCCTCACTGCCAGTCCCCAGGGCCCTCTCCCAAATGAAGAGAAGTCCTAGAGTGCCCCCGAAGGACTGGGTCTTCCTGTCGGCCTCTCTCCTCACCTTGATGGTAATGTGCCCGTGGACATTCTCCATTTCCCCCAGCATGGCTGACATCAAGGAGGACTTCCCCGAGCCCACGGTGCCCATCACGGCCACCAGCTGGCCTGGCATGATGTCCAGGTTCACACTGAAAGAGAGAAGCGTCTTTGAAGGAGATGGCGGGGCAGCTATGCAAGAGGCGGTCAAACCCCTTCTCCACCCACGACGCAGGCTGGCACGGGAGATTAGGAAACTGTCTCGGACACACATGCCCCCAAAGTGCTTCCTTAAGTGATTGATTTTGAGCCCTACAGGGCTAGAGAACAAGCCCTAATTTACCCAGATCATCTGTAAGCTGTCTGTGCCCGGTGTGGGCTTCCAGAGGTAAAACTCTCCTAGGACAAACGGGTGCCATTGAATGAGAGCCCAGTGGGAGCTTGGAGACCTGCCTGGGTTCAGGTCCCATCGCTGCCACTGTTGGGCTGTGCAACCTTGGAAGGTCACTTCCTCTGGACCGAGGCCTGCCTTCCTAAGCTGGTTGGTCTAGATTATCGTTCCCAAGTGTGGCTTCTCCAAATGTTCCCCTGGAACATTTTCTGAGAGCGGATTTCCTGTCGTGGCCCTGAAGACCAGCCTGGGTCTGCCCGGCAAAGGGGCCCACACAGGGCTGGGCTGCTGGGAGCTCCGTGTGTCCGCCCTGTTCCCTGAGTCTCTAGAACTCCAGGGACGTTGGGAACTGGTCCAGGGTCTTTCTGAGCCTGCCCGGGGAGCTGAACGGCCCCAGATGTAAGGCAGGAAAGAGAAGGGCTGTCCCGTTTCCCCTCTGCACGGGAAGGCCGCTGGGTTAGGACGGTCTCCTCCATGACACAGGCCGTAGGAACGGGGAGGAGGGCGAGAAGTCACGGGCACAGCAGGGGGACACTAAGGTGGGCTCAGTGCTGAAGACAGACAGGACCCAGGTACCTGGTGGACCGTGTGCTGTGCCCAGGGGGTCTAAGAGTTGCACTACGTGCGGCCACACGGAAAGAAGGGGTTGGCTTGGGGCAGCGCGCCGGCATGGCGAGGAGTGGCCTGTGGGACTGTGGAAGGGGCCATTTTGACGCGAAACTCCAGGTCTGAGGTGGAACCTCAAAGAGGCGGCTGCCACTGTGCATTCTGGGAAAGGAAGGCAGGTTCCAGTGTTCCCAGTCATTACTCTTTTTCTTTTTTGAGTTAGGATGTCACCTTGTCACCAGGCTGGAGTGCCGTGGCATGATCACGGCTCACTGCAGCCTCTACCTCCTGGGCTCAGGTGATCCTTCCTCCTCAGCCTCCCAAGTAGCTGGGATGACAGGTGTGTGCCACCACACCTGGCTAATTTTTAATTTTTTTTTGTAGAGATGAGGTCTTGCCATGTAGCCCAGGCTGGTCTTGAATTTCTTTTCTTTTTTTTTGAGTTGGAGTCTCACTCTGTGCCCAGACTGGAGTGCAATGGCACGCTCCCAGCCACTGCAGTCTTGACCTGCTGGGCTCCGGCGATCCTTCCGCCTCAGCCTTCCAAGTAGCCGGAACTAAAGGCGAGTGCTGCCACGCCCGGCTGATTTTTGATTTATCGTAGAGACGAGGTCTCACCAGGTTGCCCGGGTGGGTCTCGAACCCGTGGGCTCAGGCAATCCACTCGCCTCGGCCTCCCAAAGGGCTGGGATGACAGGCTGAGCCACCGAGCCCAGCTGGGTCTCGAATTTCTAAGCTCAAGCGACCCTCCTGCCTTGGTCTCCCAAAGTGCTGGTATTACAGGCATGAGCCACCACGCCCGACTCATTACTGCTCTTACATGAAGAGTTCATGTTCTTGTGTGTGACCTCTAACACACTCAGAGATATAGGTCACCTGCCAACCCTGCACCACCTCCACCCATGACATGGGTCCTCGACTGACTGTGCTGGGTCCCAAAGTAGGAAGCAGCCATGGAGACACGGCTTGGCGTCTGCTCCTAGCTCCTCTTCTGGGATTGGCTTGCTCTCCCGTTCACCTGAGCACGGGCATGTCACCCGCTTCTCCACATATCCTATTACACAGGATTTTTCCAGCACGGGACAGGCAAGAAGAACCCTGAAGTCACGCAGGCTGGAAAGACGGCAACTCACTCTCGGATGGCGGCTTCCAAATCGTGCTCCCAGGTGAAGGAGGCCTCAGAAAACTGCACGGCTTTGCCTGTTGAGAAAAAGGCCCGTTTCAGACGGTTGTGGGTTCCCGTGCACCTGTCTGCCCTTCTTAGCCCTGAGACTGCTCCAATAGGCGCTGACTCCTCTGTGAATCGGAGGTGAGGAGGCTCCGGGGTGAGGCCAGAGAGGCCCATGCATGAAGTCCTTTGCGACTCAGCACACCCAAGCCTAGATTCCTGATGCGCCAGCACTGTGGGTATGCTCCCGAGCCCTGGTCTCCCATCCCCGGGTGGGAACGCCTCCCCACCAGAGACTCCAGCTCCAGGACTCACTCTGGCCCCCATGCCTGGCCCTTAAGCCTTCAGAACTGTTTTTTCCTTCACCCCAGTCTGCCTCTCCTACCCCACACGCTTGGCTCCGTCCCACCCTCTGTGGGATTCCCCCCATGCCCTGGGAATAGCTGGGCCGGCCTCCTGCGACTGTCTAGCGCGACCATCTGCCCCACGTGTACCCGGAATTCACATAGAAGCTGTCTGCTTCTGCAATCACCGGCTCAAGACAAATGCTCAGTTCTCCCTTCCCCCCAGCTTGCTGCTGCTAAGCCCTTTCCATCCATATTCTGGAGCCAGCCCAGCGAGGCCGTTCAGGATGCAACTTCCGAATTCATTTACCAAAATTGCAGTCATGGCGAATGGCGGATGTGTCCAAGTCTTCCCCTCCCAGGTACTTTTCCAGCCGCTCTGTGGAGACGCTGGCCTAGGGAAAGGCAGAGGGGCTCGAGGATGAAGAGTCCAGCAACGTGCGTGAGCAGGGAGAAGACGCTGACGCGGTCGTCAGCCCACGATTTGCCATTCGCCAGACCCCCACCACGGACCCGGCCGTGCGAGCCACGCTGCCACAGACGGATGGAAAAAGATCCTGTTTCAGCCCTCCGAAAACTCACGGAGCCCAATGCTGCTGTGGTCTGTCTCCAGTCTCTTTTTTATTTTAATTTTTTGTAGAGACGAGGTCTTGCTATATTGCCCAGGCTGGTCTCAAACGCCCAGGCTCAAGCGATCCTCCCAAAGTGCCGGGGTGACAGGTGTGAGCCACCGTGCCCGGGCCCCTCTTCAGTCTTTGGCTTTCATTCCAGAAACTGTCTCCTTCCTTCTTTCTGAGACAAACCCCTAACTTCTACCTGGTTCTGGCACCTGGGCCCCTGGCTTATTTAGCTGAGACTACGCCTTGATGATCCAGCCAGTATCCTTTTGGAGCAGCCCTTGGGACCCTCCGTAGGGGAACCGGTCATGACATCATGGCAACCTTGTACAGGTCCATGCAGGCCACACAGGCAAGGCTTAAATGGCAGCCGACCTAAGTGTTGGGAGAAGACCCTGTGGTTCTCCTGGAACACGAGAGCTTAGGAGGACTTTGAGAAGCCTTTTTTTTTTTTGAGTCGGAGTCTCACTCCCTCACCCAGACTGGGCAGTGGCCGCTCCCAGCACCGCAGCCTCGACCTGCTGGGCTCCGGCGATCCTTCCGCCTCAGCCTTCCGAGTAGCTGGAACTACAGGCGCGTGCTACCACGCCCGGCTAATTTTTGATTTATTGTAGAAATGAGGTCTTGCCAAGTTGCCTGGGTGGGTCTCGAACCCACAGGCTTAGGCAGTCCACTCGCCTCGGCCTCCCAAAGTGCTGGGATTATAGGGTGAGCCACCGAGCCTGGCCTGAGAAGCTTCTACCAGGATGCATCCCAACTGCCTCTCCCTCTTCGAGGGAGGCTGCCGGGAAGACGGTTGCTTGTGACCGTCCAGGTTCCGATGAAGTATCAGTGTCCCCGCCTGTCCCCTCTTTAGGGTGCAGTGCAGACTGTCAAACCACTTAGCTGATGCAGGGATCAGCTCTCGGAAACAGGCTGCCCCAGTGCCCGCTGCATTCTCATCTGACCCCTTTTGGTCTGGTGTCACCCTGGGGTTATCTAAAGATGCAAGGAGCTGACATCCCTGCTGATCTGACTTTGGCTGTCTGTGTCATCAAAGGATTCTGTTGTTCCTTCACCTGCCAGACCAGTCAGCCTTTCTTCACCATCTCTGGGGCCGGGAGGCCTTCCCTTGAACCCGAGGCCTGCCCACGGCCTGCGCTGTCTGAAGCCAGCCACCCTGGGAGGCACGTGGGTCACCACACTCCAGCCCTGTCCTCCGAGCCCCCTCATCAACCTCCCACCTGTCCTGGGAACTCCCCCGACATCTGGCACTTGGCCCACCTCGGGGACCCTGCCGGGTCTTCAAACCCCAGACATTCCCTCTGGCCCTCCAAGGAGTCCTGAGCTCCAGACTCATTTCGCTCGAGGCTTCCACCGCGAGGGAGGCTGAACCACCATGAGGGTTTACACAAGGGAGGGCCTTGCTTCTCCCTTGCACCATGTTTGCCTGATGCTATGTCAACGCCTCGAGAGCCTTGGAAAATCTGGGAGAAGCCGGGCTGGGAGATGCTGGTATATTTATCCTCATTTTAGAGTCAGATAAACTGGGGCACAGAGCTCGGGTTTTTTTTTTTTTAATTCATTGTAGAGATGAGGTCTTGCCACGTTGCCCAGGTGGGTCTCGAACCCGCAGGCTCAGGCAATTCACTCGCCTCGGCCTCCCAAAGTGCTGGGATGACAGGCTGAGCCACCGAGCCCAGCCCTGGGGTTTTACCGAGATCAAGCCACTGGTCTCCGGAGACCAAACAGCTCCCTCTGCAGGCTGGACAGGGCGTGACGGGCCAGGCGCTGGACGCCAAGGCTTCGGCCGGATACGGACAGCGACGCGAGTGTCCTACCTGGAGTGTGGTGGCGATGACCATGGGCAGCATGCTCAGAGGGAAACGCAGGATGTAGAAGAGCGTGATGGAGGTGAAGGCCTTCTGGGCGTCCAGGACGTTGCCGCTGTCCACCAGGACGTAGACAGAAAACGTGACCACAGACACCTGGGTAGGGCAGGGGGCAGTGGTTCATCCCTGGGAGGAATGGTGCAGCTTTGGGTTGAGTTTCAGGGACCCGGCCTATAGCAGCACAGAAGGAGCCTGACAGCGACCCTGACCGGCCCCATGTTGCGGATGAGGAAACTGAGCCCAGGACAGGAGGAAATATATTCCCCAAGGCCACAAGGCCCACTCGTGGGCTGCTAGAGCCAGCATGTGGGTCTCCTGTCTCTTACACAAGGGCCTTCCACCGCAGACCCATGACACTGCCCCGAAGACAGGAATGCCCCCTCCGCCAGTCCCTCCTGGACACCAGGGTCCACGGCTGAACGCCTGCCCGGGGCTGCCAGACCCCGCACAGTGTGGAACGGGGAACTGCAGTTGGGGGTGGGGGGACAGAGATGGAAAGCGGCCTGGAAAGCTGGGGAGAGGCCGGGTTCTCTAGACTCGGGGCCAGACCTGGGGGGTTTGGCAGCCCTGGGCAGCTGGGGGTGGGGGGTGGGCTCCCTAGACTCGGGGTCAGGCCTGGAAGGCCTGGGCAGCCCTGGGGAGCTGGGGAGGGGCCGGGTCCCTTGTCTCAGGCTCGGCTCCAGAGGCCTGGACAGTCCTGGGGAGGTGGCGGGGAGGCCGGGTTCCCTAGACTGAGGCTCGGGCCTGGAGGACCTTCCTGGCAAGCCTGTAGAAATGGAACTTCCTCTTCCGGACGCCCCGCCCCAAGTTCCCCCCAACTTACCAGCACCGGCGTCAGGAAGAGGAGGAACACTACCACGGCCTGTATCTGGTTGAAGGCCAGCAGGTTTTTGAGCTCCTTCTTCCGGAGTTTGTGGACTTGGTCTTGGAAGGAAGGCTCCCAGGCAAAATACTTCAGGATCTAGTGGGTGAGAAGGGAGCTCATGTGTGCGCTCACCCGCCCACGCCCAAGGGGCCCCCCCAGAACTGGGGGTGGAAACCCAGATGGTAGAGGACGGCATGCAGAGGTGGCTGGTATTTGTCGACCACCTGCTCTGCGCAAACATTCACAATGCCCTATCTCACGCAAGCTTCCTAACAACCTCCGTGTGACCAACTGTCTCATTTTGCCAGGACACGGGTCCCTCCGTGACATAAAACCTGTAAAGGTCTGGGCAAATCGAGGCGAGTTAGTCACCCTACTCCCCAGGGCTCAACCCCCCCCAGGTCTCCATTTAGAGGCAGGGGGCCTTGCCCATATCCAAGCCGGCAAGGGTGAGGGCTGGATTCAAACTCAGATCTATCTGTCTTTTAACTTTGCCATGTTAACACAAAGACACTGACAGCAAGAGCTCTGCATGCAGATAATAAGGAGTTCAAAGGCACCTCTGTTTCATTTTCTTTTCTTTTTTTTTGAGTCAAAGTCTTACTCCGTCGCCCAGGCTGGAGTGCAGTGGCCTGCTCACGGCCACCCCAGTGTCTACCTGCTGGCCTCAGGCGATCCTTCCGCCTCAGCCTTCCAAGGAACCAGGCGCAGGCTACCATGCCCGGTTAATTTTTGATGTCCTGTAGAGACAGGGTCTTGCCAAGTTTCCCAGGCTAGTCTTGAACCCGCGGGCTAAGTTAATCCACTCGCCTCGACCTCTCAAAGTGCTGGGATGACGGGCTGAGCCACAGAGCCCGGCTACCTCTGTTTCCTTTCAAGGAGTTTAGGATAATGTTGAAATCCATTCATTCAAAACAACATTTCTTTTTGAGAAGATGTATTGAAAGAAATGAAATGCGTGTTGAGAGCTGGGAAACAGAGGGAAACAAGAAGCGTGTGGCCTGCCCACCTACACAAACTGCATTTGAGGGCCACCAACTAGCCCATGAAAGACACTTCTTTACAAAATTCCAGCTAATCAATGCCAAAGGAACAACGGAATCAAATCATCACCCTTTGGCAATGCCTGATGAAATAACAGACCTGGGCCACGAGCATAACATTTTTATGACAGTGGTTTTCCTATTAGATTCACCCAGGGAGCTTTTCTCTTTTTTTAGAGTTGGGGTCTCACTCAGCTGCCCAGGCTGAAGTGCACTGGCACAATCATGGCTCACCGCATCCTTGACCTCCTAGGCTCGGGTGATCCTTCCACCTCAGCCTCCCGAGTGGCAGGGACTACAGGTGTGCCTGGCTAATTTTTTAAACTTTTTCGTAGAGACGAGGTCTTGCTCTGTTGCTCAAGCTGGTTTCAAACCCTCGGGCTCAAGCAATCCTCGTGCCTCAGCCTCCCAAAGGGCTGGGATTATAGGTGTGAGACCAGCCTATAATCAAGCCTTTAGAGCCAGCTACCAGCTTGCAAGCAATACAGGAAATAGGACAAATAACCTAGTTCCTTTGGTGTGACCGAGAAAGAGAGAGAGAGAGAGAGAGAGAGAGAGAGAAATAAAGACAGGGAGAGGAAATGTGCTATCAACTAAATACCACGTGTAGACATTTTGGGGCTTCTCATTCAAATCAGACAACAGCAAAACAAGCAAAGAAGAAGGCATGTGGGAGACAACCAGAGAAGCCCGACGGTCTCAGAGACTGAGTGTTTGTTGTCTAAGGTATGGGGATGGGACTGTGGTGATATTAAAAAGGAAGTCTTAGCCGGGCTCGGTGGCTCAGCCTGTAATCCCGCGCCTTGGGGAGGCTGAGGTGAGTGGATTGCCTGAGCCCGCGGGTTCGAGACCCGCCTGGGCAGCGAGACCTCATCTCTACAATAAATCAAAAAAAATTAGCCGGGCGTGGTAGCGTGCGCCTGTAGTTCCAGCTACTCGGAAGGCTGAGGCGGAAGGATCGCCGGAGCCCAGCAGGTCAAGGCTGCGGTGGCCGGGAGCGGCCGCTGCACTCCAGTCTGGGCGACAGAGTGAGACTCCAACTCAAAAAAATTAAAAAAAATAAAATAAAATAAAAATAAAAAGGAAGTCCTCCTTTAGAGACACAGTCGCAGCATTTGAGAGTGAAAGGACCACACATCCGAGCTGCGCGTGGGGATCGCCCGCAGGTGGGAAGTGGGGAGTGGTCTACGGCTGAGCTGGGCGGTCACACCAACAGGGGCTCAGCATCTCCTTCTCTCTACTTTTGTGTATGTCTAAGAGTTTCTACAGGGAAGTACAAACACAAAACAAGCTATTTGGGGGTAAATTCATAGAAATCAAGCTTCAAAAGAGGCCCTGGGAGAAGTCATAGGAGATCACGCAACGGACACAGAAACCAGAGTCCTTGACCCACCCAGGGCCATGGAGGCCAGAGGCTAAGGTTCCTGTCCCCACTCCCAGGAGGCCACCTCTGCCCAGCTGCACACCTTGATTCCACCGAGAATCTCATTCATGATCCTCAAACGTTTGTCTTTATTCTTCATATTTTTGACCTGCCAGGAAAGAAGCAAAACAAAAACGAAACGTGCTTCCATGAGCGGGCCTGGCGTCAGGCCTTGGTGGCACAGGGGGCTGAACCATCTTCCTCCCTTGCCCACGCTGGTGGGTTTCTGCCCTGCCACCTCTGCCCGACGGGACCCTCTTCCCGGGCTGTCCTCCCCACCCTTCCCAGGGCTTCCTCTGTCGTGGGCCAGGCTTGTGTCACCCAGACCTCAGGAGAAAGGTCCCCTCTCACACCGAGGTGCTATTGCACCCTCCTGCTCAGTTCTCTGAATGCCTCTCATGGCCAACCTATTTCTTTGCTACTGGCCACCTCCCCACCCTCCAAGCAAAACGTGAGACACATCGGAGTGGCAGCGTGTCCCCTTACTGCCTTGTTCTGAGAAGCAAACCGTGCACTCGACATTTGTAAAACAAGTATTTGTAAAGGAACGAATGCAAAACGAATGAGTGAATAAGTCACGTACACCACCAAGGGCACCCACCCAAACCGTGACTTCCAGCAGGACCGAGGACCGACCGCCAGGGGCCCTGTCGGCAGCAGGGAAACCACCAGGGCTCAGGCTTGATGTTTGGGTCACTCGGCGACTGCACTGTGTGGTTGTTTGTGTTGCCATGATGGTATGATAAGCAGGGTCCCAAATCCCTGTTCTCAGGGCAGCCCTTCTCCCTCCAGGTAGGCTCTTCCCTCTCGACTTTCCGCCATCTTTGCCTGCCCAGACTCCCACCAAGAATTAGAGTAAGCTCAGCGTTCGGACTTTCAGGAAGACGTACACCCCTGGGGGACTCTTTCTTTACCTGGAGCTTCCTGTTCTTGGTGGACAGTACCCCGTTAACTGGGATAAGGAGCACCATCATCCCAATACCCGCTAAGACCGAGGGCCCCAGCTCTATCCACAGGAAGCAGACGGACAGGACGATCTGCAGGACGCTTGACCACAGCAAGTGGATGAAGTTGGTCACGTCCATGAGTTTCTGGGCGTCCACCGACATCAGATTCACCGTCTCTCCGATGGTGTACTGCTTCCGGGCCACATTGGAGAGGGTCAGAGCCTAAAGACAGGGGTTGGGACCACATACAAGGTCAAGGGCGCTGGGCAAGAGAAGCTCCGGACGTGAGAACAGAGGGGCCGGGTCCTCCCTGGGGACGCACCTCCAAGGGACAGGACCTCCTGCCTCTAAAAGTGCACACGGCGTTCTCTCGCTCCTGACACGCTTTCCTACTCTTCCTCCAGCCCTACCCATCATTCTCGCCATCCTGGCATTCCCCGCCCAGAAAACTCCCGCTGTCCTCTGCTGTCAGCTGAGATGCAACCTTTTCCAAAAAAATTCCCTGACTCCCAGGCTGGGGCCGGAGACGCCCGCTAAGCGTGTCCGAGATATCCTGTGATTCCAGCTGCCACGACATTTGTCACCGTGAACCCTAACTCTTGTGTTGCTCTGTCTCTCCACCGGATGTAAGCCGGGCGAGGACAAGGGCTACGTTTGTCTGTTCCACTACTAGATCACGTGGCCCGCGGCAGAGCATCAAATGCGGAAGGATGGGAGAAAAGTGTGGGGGGAGGAAGGGAGTCGGCGTGCACTGCTTTTGACCTTGGAGATGTGGTTGGATGTGGCAACGTTACTTGGAGCCACACTCTTTTTTTTTTTTTTTTTTTGAGTTGGAGTCTCACTCTGTGGCCCAGACTGGAGACTGGAGTGCAGTGGCCTCTTCATCTCTTAAAGGACCTGCTGGGCTCCGGCGATCCTTCCGCCTCAGCCTTCTGAGTAGCTGGAATTACAGGCCCGCGCTACCACGCCCGGCTGATTTTTTTGATTTATTGTAGAGATGAGGTCTCGCTGCGCAGGCGGGTCTCGAACCCGTGGGCTCAGGCAATCCACTCACCTCAGCCTCCCAAAGGCGTGGGATTACAGGTTGAGCCACCAAGCCCGGCTGGAGCCACACTCTTATGAGAAGGTCATGATCACTCCCAAGAAGGACAGAGGATTTAGAAGGGAGAGGAAAGCGTCGGAGTCCACATGTCTGGAGTGAAATGGCTTGTCTATTGTCAGGTGATATCCAGGTGCCTGGCCTTGTCGCCTGAGCTTTCTGTTCTCGTGTTGGAGAGATCAGAAGGCTGACACCCGCAGGTCTGTCACTTACAACGGCTTGTGCAAACGCAGCAGAACGCTGGAAGCAAAGCACCGTCTGGAGAGGCCAGTGTCTTGCTGGAAGAAGGGGAGTTGCTTCTTCTAACTCCCACATAGGCAGAATATGGCTCAAGTGGCCCTGGATACCCCCTCCCTCCTCTTCCTAGATGTGCCACTGCCATCTCACGCCACCTGTGCAATCTTTGGAACATATCAGGATTCTTGGTTGTGCAGTAAAAAAAAAATGTTCTAAAATGTGATGCCACCAAGGTCCTAGAGGGCAGGCCACTGCCATGCCTCCCCTTTGGTATAGAAAAGAAAAAAAAATCTAACATCGAATTACACTTCGGAGAAATCACCACACATTTATTTTTTCAATAAATGTCAATAATGTCGGAAGGTCACTGAGTTAGTCCCAGTAGCCCTTGTCTGGGGGGCAAGTAACATTGGCATTGAAGCTATCTGAGACTTATTTTTCTCTGCAAGATAGGGATGATGTACTTATTCCACAGGGCTATGGATTGGTAATGAATGTAAACAATGTTTCATACGCCGTGAGACATTGTCTAAACGTATGAATTGCTATATTTGTTTGGATAAAAGTATCCTTGAGGGCTCTATTGTACAAATCTCTTTATTGATTGCAACAGTTGCAAAACTCGGAATAGTAGGAACCTAAACACTGTGAATGAATAACCACAATTATAAAAACAATTGTAAAAGTATACTTTGCTAGAAACGACTTAGATAACCTGGTTGGTGACCTCATTACCTGCACACCAGCAGAAATTCAGCATCCCCGGAATCTCCTTTAATAAGGAGATTTTAAAAGTCCCTCTGGGGGAAGACAATTCCAGTGTGGGGGGGAATCTGGGAGGTCGAAGGATCTGACCAGACTTCTAATCTAAAAACACTTGACTTCTCTGCGAATATCTCCCGATGTGTCAGTGTCTACTCAGGGAAGACAAAGATCCACTGGTGTTTCAAAGGGGGAAAGCAAAGAAGAACCAGAGCCATAGCAGAGAAGTCACTACGGTGGGCATTTCCGGAGATGGACACAAGAGAGGAAAAGAGGCAGCTGGTGTCCTCCCTGTAAAAAGTGCCATCTCTCGGCAGACTAATTTCTCCCTCAAGCCTGCAGTCATTGACCCTAACGATGGCCTCTTCATCTCTTAAAGGACACAACGGGACGTCACCTTGTATCAGAGGGGAGAGGGGCGGGGTCATCTGAAGGAAACGGGCAAGCCTCCGAGTCTGCAGAACTCCATGATCCGGGGAAGAGGTTCACCCACTGGGAAAGGAAATTGGCAGCTGGGGGTTTGGGGAGCTGCTGCCCACGAGAAGAAGTGGCCGGCCGAGAGCTGGTCTGGGAGCTAGAGCCCTGGCAATGCTGAACTTGGGGACGGATACACCCAGCCTCTGATCTGGGTCCCGTGGAGCTTTGGGTTGAGTGGCGGTGGAGTGAAGCATCTAAGTGTGGGCGGCTCCTTTTCTGACTCTCCTTTCTTTCTTTCTTTTTTTTTTTTAGTTGGACTCTCACTCTGTCACCCAGACTGGAGTGCAGTGGCCGCTCCCGG